AGCTAGAAAATAGTGGGAATGAGCTAGAACGTTATAAAGTTGAGCTATAAAATACTTAGGATTAGCTAGAAAATATTTGGGATGAAGTAGAAAATAGTGGGAATAATCTAGACAATGCTGGGGATGAGCTAGAAACTATTAGGGTTGAGATAGAAAATGTTGGGAATGGGCTAGAAAATACTGGCAAATTTTGGAGATCCGCTAGAAAATACTGGGAATTATCTAGAAAATACTGAGAAATACTGGGAATGAGCTACAACATACTGGGGATGAGCTAGAAAATATTGGGTTGAGATAGAAATTACTACAGATTAGCTAGAAAATATTAAGGATGAGCTATAAAATAATAGGGATGAGCTAGAACATACCGGGGATGCGCTCGAAAATAGTACAGATAAGCTAGAAAATATTAGGGATGAGCTAGAAAATTCTATGGATGTAGCTAGAAAATATTGGGGGGACACTGGGGATGAGCTAATAAATATTGGGGAACACTGGGGATGAGCTAATAAATATTGGGGAACACTGAGGATGAGTTAATAATATTGGGGAACACTGGGGGTGAGCTAATAAATATTGGGGAACACTGGGGATGAGCTAAAATATCACGGAGATTAGCTAGTAAATGTCAGGGATGAGCTAGACAATACTTGGGAATATTTTTGATTTGCCAGAAAATGTTGGGAAAGGGCCAGAAAATACTAGCAAATTGTTGGGATGAGCTACAAAATACAGGGAATTATCTGGAAAATACTGAGGAATACTGGGAATGAGCTAGAAAATAATATGGATGAGCTAAAAAAAATATTAGGGTTGAGATAGAAAATACTATGGATTAGCTAGAAAATAGTAAGGATGAGCTATAAAATAATAGGGATGAGCTAGAATATACTGGGATGTGCTAGAAAATATTACAGATAAGCTAAAAAATGCTGGGGATGAGCCAAAAGATATTAGGGATGAGCTAGAAAATATTAGGGATGAGCTAGATCTAGAAACTACTGGGGATGAGCTATAAAATAATAGGGATGAGCTAGAACATACTGGGGATGTGCTAGAAAATATTACAGATAAGCTAAAAAATGTTGGGGATGAGCTAAAAGATATTAGGGATGAGCTAGAAAATATTAGGGATGATCTAGATCTAGAAACTACTGGGGATGAGCTAGAAAATATTAAGGATGAGCTATTAAATAATAGGGATGAGCTAGAATATACTGGGGACGTACTAGAAAATATTACAGATAAGCTAAAAAATGCTGGTGATGAGCTAAAAGATATTGGGGAACACTGGAGATGAGCTAATAAATATTGGAGAACACTGGGGATGAGCTAATAAATATTGGAGAACACTGGGGATGAGCTAATAAATATTGGGGAACACTGGGGAAGAGCTAATAAATATTGGGGAACACTGGGGAAGAGCTAATAAATATTGGGGAACACTGGGGATGAGGTAATAAATATTGGGGGACACTGCGGA